ATCATCATCATCATCACATCATCATCACATCATTCTCATCAACATCATTCTCATCAACATCATTATTATCAAAACCATCTTAATCATCGTCATCAACACCGCTCTTGTGTTATCGGCGTATTGTGCTTAACATTTGTCGCAACATTGCTAGGAGTATCATTTTTTTCAATTATTATCATTGTTGATGTCATCTTGGATATCATCCTGGATATCATCTTAGATATCATCTACTAACTATCATTTCTTATCATTATTGTGTATAATATCATTTCCGGTATTTTCATCATCATGATTGTTTTCATCACCATCAACGTCATCAGTCTATACATGTAACTATTGTTACTATCAGTTTCAGTATCATCTCGTCATCATAATGATTGTCATTAACATCTTTGTCATCGTCATCATCATCGTCATTATTGCTGATATTATCTTTTCTATCGTAAATAGTACGATAATTATCATCATCGTAATCATAACATACTCCATAATCATTATCATCATAATCGTCGTCGTCATCACTTCAACATCATCACCACCACTATCTTCATCATCGGCGTCGTTTTTGTTGTGGCTGTTGTTTACATAGCAACCATCATCATCATTATCATCATCATCATCGTCCTCGTCGTCATCACAGTTATTTTTTAGGTAGCATCATTTTTTATTTATGCTCCCCTTGCAATTAATATGAGTAAAAAAGAATTCTTTGGACGGTGATGATGACGACGACGACGATGATTATGATAATGATAAAGTTAATGGTAATGATGGTGGCCATATTGATAACGACGATAGTAATGATGATGATAAAAGACGACGATGATGATGATGATGAGGATGATGAGGATGACTTTGATGAAAATAGTTTACAATTTTTATAACTGACTTGTTTTTGAATTAGTTTGATGACTTGCTTATTGACACTATTATTACCACTATCATCATCATTCCTACCCACATTTTCATCATCATTGTCGTCGTCATCATCATGATAAGTATCGGAGAGCCCTGACTTATTGTTCTGAAGTTTTGCATTGAAAGGTATCAAGTAAGTGACGAACGTTGAAACCTGATCGCGAAATTCGTCACCAGGAATAGAAATACATTTTTAACGATATTTTTGTCATTTTAATATTTTTTTTATTTTTTATTGTTTTCAATAAAAATATTTTGAAGTATGTAAAAATATTAATACTGCTGTGTAGTTATTAGGTTTTTATATTTTACTTTCAGTTTTTTCATTAATTTAGTTCTTTCTTTTGTTATTTTTTATTCTAACCATTAAAAATTGCTATGAAAATTTTATCGAGGTATAAGAATGAAGCTTTGAAAAGAATAGAAAAAACAAAAAATTCAACAAAAACATGAATTTTGGAGAAAAAATATTTTCTAGAGAGTAGAGTTTTTTTTTATAAAAATTTTAATTAAACTCTTACCGTTTGTTTTGCTGAATAATAGGCAATGATTTACTAATTAATCTAATTTTTTTAATAGCATCTTAACGCGTTTTTCTGAAGTTATCGAGAATAGAGCAGTACTGTAGTGTTCAAGTTCATAGCCACGATCAACATGCATACGTGAGAACTGATGGGGTTGACATCATTATTCATATTATCATAATTTACAGTAGTTGTAGTAATAAATAGCTTTAGTTTCATTATAATTATGTGTAGTAGCAGTGCAGTAGTAGTAGTTGCAGTAGTAGTAGCAGCAGTAGTAGTAGTAATAGTAAGTAGTAGTTTTAGCAGTAGTAGTAGTTGTAGCAGTAGTCGTACTAGTATCAGTAGCAGTAGTAGTAATATTATTTTAGTAGTAATATGATTTATGTATGTTATAGTTGACATTGGTATTCTATTTTATTTGTGACAGACATGTTGTTGTAGAGCGAGGACGATGTTGTTGTTGTTGTTGTGCAGTGCAGGGTGTCGTCATTAAACGACAAACACCATTGAGAAAATCTTACTTCCTTCGCAAGAGAAGAAGAAGAAATGATGAAAAAAACCTTCGAGGACGCCGTGCAAAAGATTAAAAAGAAAAAAATGTCAAAATTGAAATTTTCCCCTTTCATATGTTTTAAAAATGTACAGCCTGTTTTGTAACTTTTTTTTAGTAGTAGTAGCAGCAGTAGTAGTAGTAATAGTAAGTAGTAGTTTTAGCAGTAGTAGTAGTTGTAGCAGTAGTCGTACTAGTATCAGTAGCAGTAGTAGTAATATTATTTTAGTAGTAATATGATTTATGTATGTTATAGTTGACATTGGTATTCTATTTTATTTGTGACAGACATGTTGTTGTAGAGCGAGGACGATGTTGTTGTTGTTGTTGTGCAGTGCAGGGTGTCGTCATTAAACGACAAACACCATTGAGAAAATCTTACTTCCTTCGCAAGAGAAGAAGAAGAAATGATGAAAAAAACCTTCGAGGACGCCGTGCAAAAGATTAAAAAGAAAAAAATGTCAAAATTGAAATTTTCCCCTTTCATATGTTTTAAAAATGTACAGCCTGTTTTGTAACTTTTTTTTCATTATTCTCATCATATCCCCTTCAGAGGATTAAACATTTGTACATCGTCTTTTTTCAATCCTCGTCTCGCTCTTGTTTATATACACAACTTCAAGCAAATATTAAGGTTTGCGTGCGTACGTAAAGATACATACACGCATAAACGCACACACAGGCACACAGACACACACACACAGGCACATACACACACCACACACACACACACAGGCACACATACACACGCACACGCACAAACTTTAATTATTTCATTAATATGATTTAATACTATTGTCAATATTAACAATTATTCAATCGTACAAATCGTAATAATGATACAGTTAGATATGTTTGTATAAAAATATTTCAAATTCGCGGAATTCGGCGGAAAAAATTTACATTTAAAACAAAAATACCAACCATAAATTTAGGAAATTGCAACAATCAACATCATCTTCGTCGTCGTCGTCATCATTATAGAAGCTAAATTATCGATTTATTTTCAAGTTATTCAATATATAATGAGCTATTAATATTAATATTTATTAAAATATTTTAATCAATTAATAATTAAAATAAAAAGCGAATAGCTTATGATGAAATTCAATGTTAGTGTCTGCCTTTTATTTATATTCTTTTCGAATTTAACTTGAAATTTTGCATTTGGCTTTTATTTAATTTGAAACTTTTTTAATAAATAATCATGAAAATAACAATTTGTATCTTTAACGCAACCAATCATTTAAATAATTAATTATTTAACTAGTTAATTAATTCACATGCAATTAATTCAATGTAGATTTATGTAGGTATACGAAATGAATATTAATATACTAATGCTGATACAAATATATATGTATATATATTTATATACATATGTACATATGAATATATATATATATATATATATAACAGCAACATAAAACACTAACTTATAAGGTTAACATGCAACACCATTTCATCATTGAAAAATTTTATCATTTGTCGTAGCGTATAAATATTATATATATATATATATATATATATATATATATATATATATACAGACTGGAAGACGGAACGGGATACTTGAAATGCAATGTTATTATATATGCGCATTGCTTGCTTTGGCTTATCGTATATCCAATAGTTTTTTTTGCCAAATTTAATGTTTGTTTGTATGTATGTATGTATGTATGTATGAATGAATGAATGTTTGTATGTATGTATATATACATGTATGTATGTATATATATTGTTTGTTTGTTTGTTTGTATGTATGCATGCATGTATATATGAATGAATGTTTGTTTGTTTGTATATATGCATGTTTGTTTGTTTGTAAGCATGTTTGTATGTATGTGTGGATGTATGGATGTATGTATGTATGTATGTATGTTTGTATTTATGTATGTATGTATGTATTTATGTATGTATTTATGTATGTATGAATGTATATAATGTAATATATGTATTATATATATATATATATATTTGTGTTTGTGTGTGTGTATGTATGTGTGTGTAGTGTACGTACATATACGTCTGTTTTTGTATGTCTATGTATACATGTAATATGTGTTACAGGCACATACATATGCAGCTGTGTGAGAGCAATCGAAGACAAATGACATCATCTGACATTTCAATTTGAAGTCAAGTTCACGCACCGATGAAGACGCCTTGTTGACTTCGTCTGTTCAATTCTCGTCATGCCTCATTATCATCATCATCATCGTTATCGTCATTATCGTAATTAACGTCATGCCATCATCGCCATTATTGTCATCATCATCGTCAACATTCTCATCCCACATTCTTTGCTAAAATTTCCACTATTAAACTCATAACGTTGCTGAGCTGGAACAATGCAATTCAAAGTCAAAATTTTTATAGAGTTTTTTTTTTTTAAATTTAATTTCAAACCTAAATAAATTTTACGCTGTCCAATGCTCTTATGTGAGTAATTGATCGCCAAGATCACTAATGTCATAAACGTCATATCTTTAGATTAAGTATGAAGGTTCAGTTAAAAGTTAACAGGCAATCTTTTTCTTTATCTTTTTGCGTGGATCTGTTTGCATTCGAACATAGTCACCAGACAGAGCAGGATTCCAGGCGCCTTTAACCATTTTACCATTTTGCGGTGTCATAGTCTTTCTTTGGGAAACATCGTCGAATTTACTATTTTTATTATCATGAAAATTTCTTCATTTATATTTCGTCATTTTTACCATTGATATAGTTAGGCTTTGTATCATTGTTATCATTGGCATCAATCGTCGTCGTCATCACAAATGTTTTATCATCACCATCTTCGTCATCATCATCGCCAGCATTACCATCATCGTCGTCGTCATCACCATCGTCATCCCTTCATTCCGGGCTGTCAGAAAGAAAATGGTTTCATGGATATAAATACAGCAAGTATGAATGATTGATTGGCTCTTGGCGGTCGCCCTACAACAAAGCGTTCCACTGCCGGTGAATAAAATAAAAATTAAACTATTTTTAACTCCGGCTGCAAAAAGATTTTCAATTTAATTTCAATAAACAAATCAAACTCAATAAAAAATATTACTACAACAGATATTTTTAAATTAAAATATTTTTGTTTAAATCTATAATAATCAAATGAGTTGTCGTTATATTGGCAAATGATGGAAAGGTTTTCAATGTCTATCCATAGGTAATCATTCGGCCAATAAAATGAGACTTTGAGGTGTTCTCAGAGTCTCATTTCTTCTTCTTCCTCCACCCTCCTCACCTCACCATCCGGGCTAGCCACGCTCCCGTTAACACCGCTGTAAGCACTTTGGGTTCTGCTCTTCTGCTGACGATGTTGTTGATGGTGGTGAGGTGAGTGGTGACGATGACGGTTCTCGGACGCGGCTGATATGACGCTTAATGTAGGGAAGAGGCTGGTAGAGTTGCCACCAATGCCGTGGTAGTTGTCATCGTTGAGTTCTGATGGAAGCAATTGTGCCATCCGACTGTAACAGCCAAACAACATCGGTCCACCACCACCAATCCCCACGGAGTGTGTTGAAGTTTCGCTGAATGTTCTCTGACGGTGACGTAGTTGTTGTTGCTGTTGGTGGCGGTAGAAGTGACTGCCTGAGCTTGTTGTGCGATTACGGCCACTTGTAAACTGATGCTGCTTCCACTCTTGCGATGGCTGTTGTTGATTTTCAAGTTCTGTTAGCTTAGATGATGGCTGTTGTTCGTTTGGATGAGCTTCACTACTATCGGCTTTCGTGTCGTTGCTGTTGTCGGTTTGGTCGACTCCATTGTTGTTGTTTGCATTTTTGTTCACTTGTTCATTGTTGTTCTCATCAAACTCGTATGCTTCGATTTTGTTTGCCGTTGTGCTGCTGAAACTTCCGATGTTATCTCCATCAAGTCCTTCAACGAGTTGTTTACTATTTTTGTTGTTGTTAGCTGTTGTTGTTGAAAGTTCAACCTTGCTCAAATTATCTCGATAATTCCTAAAAACAATTGATTTTCAGATTAACGAGTAATGAATAAAAAATTGTTGTAATTTATATTTTTCAATTTTTGAACAAAACAAGCAAATTAATTAATTTCATTAATTTATTTCAAAAATTTAAAAAACTGGATTCACTTCATCTGCCGACGCTCCTTAATGAACATGATGATTGTGGCCAGAATGACAAGAAGAGAAATAGCTCCTGATACCGATGATCTGCGCATTTTAGTGTTAACCGTCATTATTATTTCCATTAAATTTTTTATTTAATTATAACTAATTTATATCTAAATGAAAAAATTCACTCATACGTTTAACTGAATTTTTGGTTTTTCCAACCTATTATGTACTGTGATTGGCCTAAATATGTGCATATGTCTATTAATTTATATAATTCATCAATTCATTCACTCCCTAATTTATTTATTCATCTCTCTGTCTATCCATCCACATATTTTTCTAATCATTCATTCATCCATCCATTTGTTCATTCGTTTATCCATTCATCCATTTGTTCGTAATACCTAATAATCCAATCTTGTCTATATTCATCACTCTTCTTTTTCTCACGTTCTCTCCTCTCCACGCATCTTCTCTCTTTAAAAAATTTATTTTCATAAAATCAGTGAACATTTGTTTTCAACAACAACAAACCATTTAAAGATTAAACTAATCAGAGTAATTGGATAAAACGAATTAGGCCGAATAATTTTGTGAAAAAAATGTTCAGATCTTTAAGGGCAATAAAGAAATAACATTACATCGTCACGTTACATTACATTACATAACATCGTCACGTTAACATCAACTATGTGAACTCACCCTGGCTGTCACTAAAGGCATCTTTACTAACGCTAATGTTACATATGTTACAATCGTCGTTCAATTTGGCTTGCATGTTCGCGTAACACATTTTGCCAACAAAGCAGTAACTGCCATTCTTAAATAAATTTAAATAAAATATATATATATATATGGAATTCATAATTATTAGTAATAATTTTTTATTCTTATTTTTTATAATGTTTAATGCTGTTAATATAAGTTTAAAAACTAAACAAAAATATCATAATAATAATTATAATAACAATAATTAATTAAATAAATAAATAATGTCACAGCATCAAGATACCAATTTTCGCTCGCATTTCCCGCCAATTTCGTCCTCAAAATTACACCGCATGCAGACGGAATCGAAGACTATGAATTTGAATGTCTTGAATTGAGTTGAATGTTTATCCTTTACTCTTATCTCATAACTTTGTTTATTGTTTTTCTTTATTGACGATGTGGACGATGATGATGAGGATGATGACAATGATGATGAAGATGAGGATGATGATGAAAATGATGATAATGATGATGAAGATGATGATGGTGTTGATGTAAACATTGTAGATGCCGGCAGAAGACAAGCTGCTTGATTGATGTTGATGACGTCAACTTTTACGTCATAACTGATTCCTGAGTGGTCATCATCTAGAACTGTTTCCTGTTCGTAATGACAACGATGATGATGATGATGATGATGTTGATGATGATGATGATGATGGTGATGATGGTGATAATGGTGATGATGATGATGAAGATGATGATGATGATAATGATGATGAAGATGACGATGATGACTATGATGATGATGATAATAACTAAGATGACGATTATATTGATGCAGATGATGAAGATGACGATGACGAAGATGACGATAACGAAGATGAAGATGACGATGATGAAGATGACGATGATGACTATGATGATGATGATAAAGATGATGAGTATGATAATTTTATTGCCAGAGTGTTTTTGTCGATAGGAAAGAAAGGCTTACAAGAATGGGCTTCACTGAGCAGATCAGCGAATGATCGCTTCCTTTGTTCTCCATATTATTGTTATTGTTTATGTTATTATTGTTGTTATTGTTGAAGTTGTTGTTGTTGTTGTTGTTGTTATTGTTAAAATTGTTGTTGTTGTTGTTGTTGTCGGCTAAAAAATACTTCCCGTAGAGAATTGCGAATGAGCAATTTTCAAAGCGGACATCACAGTATACAAAGTTTTTGTTGAAGATGTCTGGCGATAATGATGATGACGACGATGATGGTGACGATGACGATGATGATGATGATGACGATGATGATGAAGATGATGATGAAGATGATGATGAAGATGATGATGAAGATGATGATGAAGATGATGATGATAAAAATGATGATGATGACGATGATGGTGACGACGATGACAACGCCAGCGATATGCTGCAATCGGCTCCAGCAAATCCATCATTGCATTGGCAAACTCCTACGTTATGTTATTAACACAAATGTAATGTAACGTGATGAAGGCAATTTATTAGGCTCCTCTCCTACTACGGACGCTACTACTGATGTTGCTGCTGTTGCTACTACTACTGCTACTACTACTCATGCTGCTACTACTTCTTCTACTTTTCTTGCTGCTGCTATTTCTACTGCTATTATTAATCCTACTAATACTACCAGAATGTAACTATGAAGACAAAAAAAAATCA